ATAGAAGCCCTATCAAGAAACAAGAGAAGAAACAAAGACAAATACACTCTTTATACAGATGGAGCATTATATAAAAAGGAAGGAAAAGATAGTCTAGCAAAAATGGGTATCAGTTGGGTGCAGGTTAGTGATAAAGAAAACTTGTCAGAAGAAGAAATAACACTAAGACTCAAAGGTTGGCTCTTAGCAACAACAGCAGAATTAGTAACAATATGGTTAGCAATTTTAACGATACCAGAGAGAAAAGATATAGAAGTGTATACAGATAGTCTTGCAGCACTAAGGCACATTAATAGAGCAATCCAAGTGATAGGAGATGACAAAATTCTAAAAAAGAAAAACATGATGTGGATAATGAATATTATAAGTCTACTCGAAAGCAAGAACAATAGAATAGAATTAGTTAAGATTAAAAGTCACAGCAATGACAAATGAAATGACAGAGCAGATCTAATTGTAAAGAAAGGAGCAATATATGGAAGGACAATATTTACAGAGAGAATTAAATGTAACAAAATAGAATACTACTTAGAATGGGAAAACAGGAAAGTTGATATACCAACAAGACTTCTTTGTAAAATAGTCACAAATACCAAAATCAGAACTAATTGGAGAGAAACAAATCCAATTCAAGCACTAGAGCCAGAAACTGAGAACACTCAATATAATTGGTCAAGCTTTTGGAAAGAGATGAATAGAACAAAAGATGTATATTGCACAACGAGAAAACTTAGTACAAGAAGAGCTACAGTGATTAAATATATAATAGACAGCCTACCAATGCTAGAAGAATTAAATAGAAGAAGACCAAAAATATATACAACAACCGATTGCCAAGTATGCCAAAGAGGTGAAAAAAAACTTAAGCACATCTAGCAAGTTGCATCAGACAAAAAAACTTGTGAAAGAGAATTCAAAAAGTAGCAACAGCAATAGCATGGAACAATCTTAAAGAAAGTGAAAGAGTTAGAATTCTACCTCACGTGCTATACGAGGCATTATTTGAGAAAACAGAAGCAGAGGAAATCACTAATAAAACAGCTCTAGTAAAAGGGTTAATAACAAATGAGGTTGGGAAAAAGATTAGTCAAATCCTAAACAGACAGACAACACAAAAATGCACAGACATAGTAACAAAAACAGTTTAGAATACATTTTACGACCAAGTATGGAGAGTCTGTTGTGAAAAAGTACAAGAATGAGAAAAGAAGAGTAATATAATAAGCAAAATGAAAAAAGGTGTTCGAACTAGGAAAAGAACAGAGAAAAGAACAAAGAAGAATAAGATGACAAAAGAAGAAGAAAAGGAGAGAAGGTTGGAAAAAGTGAATCGGATGAAGAAAGAAGCTTGGAAGACAATTGATATGCTTGTCACAGAGGGGGGAAGACCCTTCTGGTATGGCTTTAAGTAGTTAGACGAGCAGTCTATCTCTAACTGAGATAGTGCGGCAGGTTGCACTTAGGTACCAATAGGGTGGCTGAGTGATGCTAGGCTTAAGTATTGGGAAATTCTATGTAATTATAATTGTAAATAGTTTCAAGAATCTTAATAAAGTACTAGCGTAACTGCTTAAGATTAAAAAAAAAAAAAAAAAAAAAAAATAATATTCTTAACTGTTATTATGTTGTATATAATTATATTTGTTTTAACTTTTTTAAAAAGATTGTACAAAAAAACTTTTTCTTGTAGGTTAGAAAAACTTTTCTTATCATGACTTGCTGTTTTTTTTTCTTTATTTTGTATTATTTAATTTGTTTTATTTTCTGTTGTCTTTCTGTTATGCACAAGTACATATTAGTTCAAAATTATTATTATTTAATATTGGTATCATGTTCTGTATTATTTTATTTTTCTATTTTGTTGTTTTGATCATGTACGGAAAAGAGTTTTTTTACATAAAAATTCCCCAACAATAATTGTTGTTAAAAACGAAACTGATATTTTAACAGTTTTTATTCGTCGATTTGTGTAATTTATGATAAAAATTTAGAAGTGACAAATCATGTGACCGTATGTAAAATTTTCCTGATGTTATGTTACACCAAATCGGAATTTACTATCAGCTATTGGTTAATTTACTGCAGATCGCTGTAAAAAAAATGAATTCTCAGATTATCTGTCAATTTTCTATTTGGTTCTACAATTTAAAAGTACCACATAACAAAAAAAAAAAAGATATATAAAAAAAGTTTAAAATACTGTCAAAAAATAACAATTATTGCTATGCTAGCTTTTTTTCCAAAAAAAATAAAGAGATAGTTTGCAGCGGAGTCCTATACTTAACTACAAATATTCCTACACTTAACCACAAAGACCTGCACTTTTATAGTCATGGCGTAGTAGTAGGAAATAAAACTCCGTATGAATGGAACGCCCGCATTCTTTTCTGGCCATATTTATTACCATTTCAAGTAGTGTATACGTACAATACATACAAATTTTTTCTATTTTGACATTATGCAATAAAATAAATAGTACAAATTTTTTAAATGGTCATTGGATTTCCTTTTAAGCTAACAATAGCGCTGGCATCTGATAAAAAGGTGACATTTTTCATGCAACATATGTACAATGCTTCAATACTTTGACAATGTCACAAGTGAATCACGAACGAAATTCTAAAAGAAACCCAAGGGGGGGAGGAGATAATAAAAATAAACGAACCAATAATCGAAACGATGGTTCATGCTATATTTGTGGACAACATGGCCATTTTTTTCGTGATTGTACTAGTGAAAAATTATCAAAGCATCAAGATATAGAAGAAAATCAACTTAAAACATTATCTGATAATTTTAGCTCCGCTGAATTGTCTTATGATGGATCTGATAAAATCGTTTTTGTACCAAAAGGAGATGAACATAAAGGGGTATGGAAAAGATTGATAAAGAAAGAATTTACAAATCAACATAGAATTAGGTACTTTGTTACATCATGTCTTGCTGCAGCGGACAAAAAAGTAGGGCACGAAGTTGAAGAACTTGTCTCGGAATTGGGTCAGGCGGAAGGTTTGAAGCGTATAAGAGAAGTTGTCATGTTTGATATGTCCGTGGATGCTGGGTAAGTATTAATATAATAAATTTAACTGATAATTCTATCTAACAATTTGTTAATTTTTAATTTCATCAATACTGTAAATCTAGTCTTTCCGGTGCGATTGCCTCATTCCAGCGTGTGATATTACCATTCATGGCGCTTCTAACTCGCTCAGGAATTACTGAGTGCAATATAGAGAAATATGTTCATCCAATATTTTTTGCAGTCTATTCAAATCTGGTAATATATTATATATATTTATTCTTTTATTTTTATTGATTTCCGATTTAGTTCTAACTAATTTAATCATTATATATAAAAAGAAACCATTTATGCATGATGGTGTTATTCCAATGTTAGAGACTCTAGTTCAAAGAAATGATATTTCTGACAGAAAAACAAGCCAATCTCTGTTGCTTGAAGATGACCCAGATGCATTTCTACCTACCTCGTATGTATGAGTAATTTTTTGTAAATTGTAAATTAACTTTCTCTACCTAATCAGTAACAATAATATTCTTTTAAATAGAATGGGCCAATTCTTCTTGATTATTGTCAGATTATGTAATGAACTTATGAAACGTATAAAGGAGGCATCGATTAATGATACAATGCACAAAATTGTGTCGAGAATCGAAGATGCGAAAAATTTGTGGAAAAATTCCCTTCAACAAACTATTGAAACATCTAAAGATCCACTTGCTTCTAATATTGATCGTCAAAATTATTTTTTCATGATCCTTGATAAAGAAATAAATAACATGAACAAAATATTAAATAATGGCCGACGTAGCTTGCCATCTTATAAGGCTTCGTCCACAAAATCTAATAATAACTCTACCACATATTATCGTAAACTGGCAAAAAAAGTTGCTTTAATGCATGACTATGATCCTCCCGGTATTGTATATTAGAGCTTTCGTACATTATTTATAACATTATTAATTTTACTGGTTATAATTTAGTTTTTCTTTATTTTATAAAGGCGAACTTTCTAAGAATGGACCACGTCATGATAATGATTTTAGTGAAATATCAAAAATTTCAATTATTCCTACTAAGGATGAAGTTTTATGTAAACGGGAACCATTTTTACCCACAACAAATATGGAAGAATCCTTACATTATCTTCCAAAAGGTTCTGAACGACTTCTTGATACACAATTTCGTCTTCTACGAGAAGATATGATGTGTCCTATACGTCTTGGTATTGTAAAGTAAGTTTTTGTTTAAAAAAAGTAATCTAAATTAAACATTGAATCAAATTGAAAACTTTTATTTTCAATTTTTTTTTTTCCAAAGTTTCATTGAATTTTTGAGGTTAGGTGAAAATAACGCGAAGATTAAAAAGTTACGGGAACGTGGTGGAAGGCATAAGTATGATAATAGTGTAGACGGGACGAATGGAAGCGATTTAAATGTATATGCAAATGTTCGTTTTTCTGAAATAAAAGTCGATAAAAGGCGTGGATTTTCTTGTAGAATGGAATTCACACAACCCCCAATGCGACGTCATTCAGAAAATAAGAATAGTCGATTGCAGTATTGGAATAAAAGTAGAAAACTTATGAATGGAAGTTTGGTCTGCTTACTTTGGCCATCCGGCAAAAATTCATCTGCTAATGCTAATAATGGCCCTCAATTTTCTTTATACTTTGGAACTGTATCACTTCGTGACGAAAATTTGTTAGCTCAAAAACAACTTACTGCTGTGGTTGACATCAGTTTTATTGATACATCAATTTATATAATTGCCTTGAAAGATATAATGAAAAAAAATTCAAATAAACAGACAACAGGATGTTTCATGGTCGAATCTACAGGAGTGGTATGAATCTAAGTTCTTAGCTTTGAATATTAATATGCATATACATCCTTTTCTAACAATATCCAATATGATGTCATTAGTATTTTGAGTCATATTTCCATATTTTAAGAACTCTTAAAGAAACTACACCTTCGAGTCTTCCTTTTGAAAGATATTTGGCACCACAAGAAATCGAAAGTTCCTCGTTTGCTTTAGTTGACCCGCCTACATATGCTAGAGCGCCTGGATTCGAATTTGATTTGTCTGTGCTACTTGAAGATAAAAACAAACAACTTAAACTAAGAGTTGCTGACATATCATCTCATCAAACTGTTGTTCAAAACCTTCAATCGTTGAGTAGACTTGATGAGAGTCAAGGTATATTAATATATTATAAGAAACTTTATGTTGTTTGGGAATTATTGAATCGTTAATTAAATTTTTTATATAAATCTATCTTGCGTAGCACAATCTCTCGTAAATTCTTTATGTCGAGAAGTTGCTTTAATTGAAGGTTAGTTTTTATTATATGTTGACGTATTTTATTATTTACGACTACAGTAAGCGCTTACATTAATGCAATAATAATAATGATAATAATGCTAAATTTAATAGGACCTCCTGGAACCGGCAAAACTTTCGTTGGCGTTGAACTAATGAGGGTATTGTTAGCGAATCGGACTGCTACAAATATAGGTCCGATATTAACAATTTGTTTTACTAATCATGCTTTGGATCAGTTTCTTGAGGTATCGAATAACTATATTGGAGTTATATTTGAAAATTATAAATATTAATAGCTAATACAGTTATCATGACACTTTTAGAATTTATTAAAAGTTGGAATTCAAAATATTGTACGATTGGGAAGTCGATCAAGGTCTGAAATTATTAGAGATTTCAATCTAGAAGAGATATGTCGAAATCGCGCTCGCTCTAAACATCAAGGATGGTTGTTAGCTCAAGGATATAAAGAACTTGAGCAAATTGAAAAAAAGGCAGATCAATTACAAAATAATTTAACTAACAAATTTTTGGATTGGAATGATGTTTCTGTTTATTTGAAAGTGGAATACCCAGACCACTTGAGAAATTTTCAGTATCCAGATATACCAGACTTTTTACTTGAAACTACAGTTGAAGACGATGAAGAAGATGGAAAGTGGAGAAAAGCTAAAAATAAGAGAAACAAAAAACGATCAGTGTTTAGCCAATGGGTTGATGGTGATGATTTGAATCTTGCACAGATGTGGGCTGATAATTTAAGAAATAGAAAAGCTGAAGAACAAAGAAAAGCTGAAGCTGAAGAACAAAAAAGAGCTGATGATAATAAATATGAAATTCTTAGCAATTATGATAATGATGATGATGACGATGAACAATCTAATGGAGACTCTGAAGATGCTAATGAATATGCTAATGAATATGATGATTACATACAAAATTGGCTACTTTCTTGGACAAGACCTAGCAGTAATCGGTCTTTGGAGGAACTGAAAGTTGATCCTAATATTTGGCAAATGTCTAGTGCCGAAAGAGCAACTTTGTATGAATGTTGGAAAGAGGATATTAAATCTGAATCTTTTGAAGAGCTTGACAAAATTCAAAAAATGTATGAAGCGAAAAAAAAGGAGGTAGAAGAGATTTACGATGAAGGTCGTCGTCAGATTCTTCGAAACTGTGATGTAATTGGAATGACAACAAACGGAGCAGCCAAATTTCAAACTTTAATTCGCTCTATTGGTAGGATGTTAAACATAATTATTTTCATTTACAAACATAATTAGTTAGACCTTAAATTAAAATTGAATTATTAGGACCACGTATAATCATTTGTGAAGAAGCAGGTGAGGTCTTGGAGGCACATATTTTGAGTGCACTAACACCTGCGACTCAACACATGATTCTGATTGGTGATCACAACCAGGCATGAAGGAATTTTTTCTTATATAATTATAATGAGTTAATTTATATATATATAATTATAATAAGTTAATGTTTATATATTTTTTTTTTAGCTTCGTCCTCATTGCGCTACATACTCTTTGACATGCGATTCGAAAACTGGAATTAATTACGCACTTGACAAAAGTCTTTTTGAACGCCTTGTTAATGGTGATCAGACAATGCGCCTAGAAAAATCGCAATTGCACACACAAAGAAGGATGAGAAAAGAAGTTTCTGACTTAATTCGGCTTACATTATATGAGAAACTCATTGATGACGAAAAAATCGTCAATTACCCAGATGTACGCGGTGCTCAAAGAAATGTTTATTTTATGGATCATCGTCATCCTGAAGATTCAGGTGAAAATGATTTTGCAATAAATTCACATTCAAACACCTTTGAGGTGGAAATGGTAGTAGAACTTGTTAAGGTAACTAATTATTTGTATTCTTAACAGTCATCATTAACAGATATCTTCAATTAACTTATGTAAAACATTAAATTTAGTATTTTGTTCGTAATGGCTACAATAAACTAAATCAAATTGCAGTGTTGACTCCATATCTCGGACAGCTAATTAAAATAAGAGATGCGCTACAAAAATCATTTGTTGTGGTAATTGACGAACGTGATGATCAATTGATTACTAATATGGAGGAAAGCATGGATGCTGAAAATGAAAATACAGATAGCGGGTCAACGACTTTCACTACCGCTACTGAAAAGAAGTTGTCACAACAAGTAATTGCTAAGATTATAATACTAAAACGTGATCTATTTTAATTACTATAAAATTTTTAATGTTCTGAATTTAAATAGGTTGTTCTTCGTACAGTTGACAATTTTCAAGGAGAAGAAGCCGATATAGTGATTGTGTCGCTTGTTCGTAATACTAGAAATATGGATCGTGGAAATATTGGATTTTTGAAGTCAACAAATCGTTCTAATGTCCTATTATCACGTGCAAAACATGGAATGTTCCTTTTGGGAAACTCAGAGCTTATGGAAAAGCATTCCGAATTTTGGAGAAAAGTTTTGCTAATTTTACACGAACGTGGTCAAATTGGGCCAGGATTTCCAATTGTATGTGCTCAACACCCTCATTATAGGAATACCATATATGAAGCCGAACAATTTAGTGAAGTTTCTCCGGATGGTGGTTGTTTCGAGCCCTGTAGGTTTATCATAAAAAATATAATACATTTTATTGCAAAACAGTAAATATATTGTTTTTTTTCGCATAAAAATTTAATAGGTCAACAACAGTTAAAATGCGGACATACATGTGAGTTAACACAAAATTTTTTGTTATTTTTATACAAGTGAGATTGTTGAGTTTTTTGTAATTGTAGGTCCATATAAATGTCATTCGGATGATCCGCAGCATATTGGTGTTTTTTGCAGAAAAGATTGCACAAGATTGCATCCAGATTGTGGGCATCCGTGTAGGAATAAAATGTGTGGAGAAGAGTGTGGCAAATGTTATTGGCCGATTGAAAATATTCCATTACCATGTGGGCACGAATATAAAAATGCCAAGGTTTGGAAAATATAATCAAAATTTTTAAAGTTTAGATTATTTAACCTGATGTTGTTTTTCAATTTTAAATATAGTGTAACGACAATAAAAATAAAGAAAGGCTCCGTTGCCATGAAATGGTTCTAAGGAAATTACCTAAATGCGAACATGAGCATTTAATGGAGGTAAAATGTTGTCATTTATTCGATCACTATCAAAATTCGCTGACTTATTTATATTATATATTATTATTAGTGTCATGTATCAGTTGATGTTTTTACATGTACAGAAAAATGTAAAAAAATTCTTTCCTGTGGACATAACTGCATGTCCAAATGCTATGATTGTCTGGAGTTGTCTGAGAAAACGAATCCAGATAATCTGCCTTTAGACACTGAAGGTCAAATAATTAGATCGCATCACGGAAAATGCACGCAGAAATGTGAAAGGTACTTATCGGAATTGAATCTCTTAAATGCATTATTATTTATAAGCTAATGTAGTATTTATGCGCAACATTAGGAACTTATTTTGTGGTATGAATATTTTTGTTTCTATTCATTTTATTAAAAAGACATGAATATTATTTACCATTTTTCAAACATAAGGTCACGTATGTAAAGAAAAATGTCATGATGGTCGATCGTGTAGACCTTGTAGAAGTTTCTGCAATGTTTCTTGTGCACATTCAAGATGTAAACAAGTCTGTTCAGAACCTTGCTCAGTGTGTGCTGAAGGTAATAAAATAGTTATGAATCGAAATAAATAAATCGAATATTTATATATAATTAAATTTTATAGAATGTGAATGGCAATGTGAACATGAGGGTGCTTGCAATTTACCATGTGGTGTACCTTGCATCCGACTTCCATGCGATTTGCGATGTGAAAAATTACTAGGTTGTGGACATCAATGTTTCGGACTTTGCGGTAAGCCCTATTATTGTGTGAAGATATTTATATATTACCATTAACAAGTCCTTTAAATTAACATGCTTCATTAATCTTTTCATTATAATTTATAGGCGAGAAATGTCCACCATCAAAGTACTGTGCAGATTGTACTACAGATGATAATGTCAAAAATCAAGGTTTTTTATTTTTATATGACTAACCAATTTTTACGAGCAAAAAATTATGTTTGCTGATTTAATTTTTCGATTGCCAAATGTTAGTTGTTGATTTGATTATGCAAGAAACTTTTGCAGAAGTGGATTGGACTCTTGAACGAATGGTTGTTTTAGAGTGTGGTCATGTATTTACAGCAGAAAGTTTAGATAATTGGATGGTTATGAAAGATTATTACGAAATGGACAATGACAATAACTGGATCCGAATCAAACCAATTACCTCGAAACTAATAGATTCTAAAACTTGTCCACAATGCCGTGCTCCCATTAATATATATCGTTACGGAAGAGCAACTAAGAAAAATGTTTTGGATGTGCAGAACAAAAAATTTTTAATGAAATGCGAATTCCAATTGAAAGAACAAAACAAAAGTATAAAGAATGCTACAGCACAATTAGAAAATAAGCGAAAGAAAATTTTGGATGAAATTAAAATGCCTCCTAAAGTTCAAAGAAAAAAAGAAATGAACGTTATGGAAAAAGGACCTGCATTTCAAGCAATTCCAGAAGTTATACCAACAGAACAATATATATTGCTTGAAAAATATCATATTCCAACGTCGCATGAAGAGAGATGGAGTAATCATATATCCGTGCTTCTAGCCATATATCGAAATTTGATGCGATTAATGTCGGCGACTAAGTCTCCGCCATATAAACTAGCATACGAGGCTGCAGTATCTCGATTGTAAGTTAATAGTTCTTAAAGTTTAGGAAAATATTCAATTTGCTTATAACTTTCGCTCTAAACCATGTATAGGTATAATTCTAAAACCAAAATTGATATGGATGATCTAGTCAAAAATCTTGAATCATTTAATCTTTTAGATTATGATTCTCCTGCTCGTCAGCGTCTCAAATTCCAGGAAACATTGGCAGAAGTTGGGATAATTGCTCCAAAAGTAGATGTTCGTGTATATCTTGATGCATTTTTTAACATAGTTAATATCCAAAAAGTAATCTTTCATGAAGTCTCCAAGATTATTTCAGAGTTGCCAAAAGAAACTCTTACAGCAACAGAAACAGCAATTCAGCGCGTTTCTTATAGTAAAAATTGGATTAGCTTTGGGGAATATATGATCGAAACCGTTAGAAAACACCTTGATTCAATAATTACTATAGCTCAAGAGAATCAATATCGTCGTCACCTTGTTCTGGCCTCGTTAGAATTAGCGGAATTTGAAATTAAAGCAGAGCGATTTAAACTTAGACATCCTCCCACGGGTATCGTAACTCCTACGATCCAAGATGCCGTTAAGAACAAGTGTACTGAAATTGAGAAAATATGCATACATATTTGTGATGAAGTACTCCCTAAAATGAACGTTGAACATTTTGAAAAAGAATGCAAATCGAGAGTTGATAAAATTCTTTTGGAAGTTTTGGATCTTCATACAGCTGCACTAAAAGATAGACCTTTAACATTCGAAGAAAAGTTGGAAATACATGAAGCAATGAAATTTGAATTGCAAGGATCTGGGGTAATATATATCTATTTCTTGCTTTTTATATTTACTGCATAATTATTAATTTGATAAATTTCAGCATTGGTATCAATGTCCTAATGGTCATCCTTACACGATTGGTGATTGCGGAAATGCCGATCAAGAAAGCCGGTAATTTTATTGAGCAATTTCGAAGTCTTGTACTTAATTTTTTTATCTTTCTAACATTTATTTTATAAATTAAGTTGTCCGGAGTGTGGCGAGAGAATCGGAGGCCAAGGTAACGTTTTATAATTAGTAATTAAATTGACAAATTTTATTTACAAATCACCGAAGAATTAATTATTACATACAAAATTTCATTTAAGGTTATATACTTGCTGTTGGAAATAGTCGGAATGCGGAATTTGAACGTATGCAGTAGTGAAGGTATCATTTTGATATGTAACTTTTAATCTTCTGTAACTAAATAAAGCGCTTGTCATACAAATTTATGATTTCATACGACCTACCAAACCATTGATATTAATAAAATCGATAAAGAAATAAATTATTTGAATAAGTTAACGAAACAAAGCGTCATGGACTATTTTTGTTATATTGTTTTAAAAAACATTTCATAATTTACTGTATGGTACAAGTAATAAGTTTTTTTAAAAAATAATCGCGTAAATTTTCAAAAAAAAATTTCGCATAAAAACGCAGAGAACTCTAAAAAAACACGCTTGCATAATATATACTGTATTCTCGTAACAAAATCTACAGTATATCGCCAAAATGACGTCATAAAAACTTTATTCGATAGTAAATGGGCGTCACCATGCTTTGACTCTAAATTTATAATTTACTGGACAAAATCGAAGGACCCAGTCCGATTAGGCGGCACCAAAATATTATTTATATGACCTTTTAAAAGAAAAATGTTATATTTAGTAAATATCTGGTGTAAAATTGTTATTCGCGTGATAAGATTGAAAAATATTATTTCATAAAAAGGCAATCCACTTGCCAACAAACATAATAACTTTTTCTGTTAAAAAAAAAACCTTTCGTGTAATAAAGGATTCACAGATAGCATGTGTGACAAACATTTAAAAAGAAAAACATTCGTATAAGCGTTTATTAAAAATGCTTTTTAAGTGAATGGCATCTTTAAATGTTTCGTTAAATAATTTCATTACACGAATGACGCATCCAAATTTCGCGAATGACGTTTCTCAAACTAATGTTACACGATTCTTATTCAAACGTTTAGTTTTTTGATATTTTTTGATATTTATACTGTTACAAATATTAACGTTCTTTATTTCAGAAATAGCCGGTTATATGATCAAATTTTTTAGATATAGTCACTTGAAAACTTAGGAATAAAGAAATTTATAAAACATAAAGTAAACAAACAAAAATACCTATATTTGAACCTTTGCATTTTATTGGTAGGGAAAGAATTTATAAGGATTCATAATACCATTTGGATCAATATTATGTTTGATTTGTCTCATAATGTCTACCATCGCTTTTGGCTTAGAATGATCTAGTATTTTTGCCTTTATTAGACCTAAACCATGCTCTGTTTAATGTGTACAAACATAAAATTAAAAAAAATAAACTCTAGACAAAATGAAATATTAAACATAGATTATATACAGACCTGCTGATAAAGACCCTTTGTATTTATCTAAATCAAAATTCAAATAATAGTAAATATTTTACTAATATTATTAGTAAAAATTGTAGGATTATGATTACCTGTCCATTCGCGAATACATGATTCAATCAACCTAATGATTTCTAGAGAATATGTTTTGGATGTGATCGACAAATGCAAATTACCTACGTTATACCGATATCAATGAAATATTAAAAAAAAAAACAGCCATAATTAGTTGATTCTACATTATTAGTAGGTTTTAATATCTTTGTTCTTTAGAAACTCACCATCTCCAATGTGACCAAATCCGATAACATCCATTACATTTTTACCGAATAAGCCAGCATTCTTTAATCGACTAGTAACATCTTCAACAACCTTGTACATCACCGAGACTGGTATAGATATATCGTAAAAGTACGCAGATCCAACCTTCATGCAAGCATCAGGAATTCCTTCTCGAATTGACCAGAGACTTTTCATTTGTGTATTGTCTTGAGCTATGACGCCATTTTCAACGATTCCCTTTGCCATGGCAGTTTCTAAAAAATCGGAGAGTTTCTAAGAAAAGGAAAATAGTTAGATAACGTTTTATAAATATTAGGAGAGAACTATAAATAATAACTTACTTCTTCATCATGATCCTTATTGGAGCCACCAGTTTCTATTAATGCATAAAAAGGATATTCATCCTCTAAAGGAAATTTTACGCTTTGGGCTAGATGCGTTTTTACTAATCTAAACGACAGAACATCCCAGAATTCGAATGCTAATCACCGATAATGATATGTTATTAAAAAAAACTCATTGTAGATTCATTAAAGAAATTATTTTTTGATACCTGATAAAATTTCTGTCAACATTTCCTTTGATGTAATAAATGCATCTTGAACATTTTTAAAGGAGTTTAGGCCAAGCACAGCAACATTAACTGCCTAATAAATCAATAAGTTATGACACTGAATATATAATATTAACGATATAAAAGAATAGGTTCTCATAAACCTTGTGACGTGTTGGTGCCAAAATTGAAACACCAGTAATTATTCCTAACGTGCCTTCTGAACCAATAAAGAGCTGCTTAATGTCATACCCTAATTTGATAATAAGAAATTTAGGAAATTGCACGTGGAGCTATGGCAACAAATAAAATAGCTCACCGGTATTGTCTTTACGGAGAGTTGAGAGATTATCTAATATAGTCCCGTCAGGAAGTACCTACTTAAAAGATCAGGAAAGATAGTTACATTATTTTTGAACAGAATGGTGATAACATTATGGATTCGTACCACTTCTAATCCCAATATGGAGCCGTGTAGAGAACCATATCTCAAGTATCTAACCCCACCAGCATTAGTAGCAACGTTACCACCAATATGACAGCTAGTATATGTATTACATATAAAACTGGAATTAGTACCAGGAAATAAATAAATAAATAAATAAATAAAATCAATTTACCTCCCCTTGGAACCTATGTCCAAGGGCATCGAATGTCCTCTTTCTGCAAGATAGTTGTCAAGAATTTCAAGAATACAACCTGAATCACATATAAGGGTACCTTTGTGCAGAAAGATGTATAATTCAAAGTAAGCAAATAGTTGCTTGTTATCTGGCAGTATGACATATACACTGACGGAATATTTTTCATATTATGCCGCAGATTTTTATATTAAAATAAGTTCGAATTTGCCACATTATTTTAATAAAAAACTGAGGTAATAATGTGAAAATTTTGCCGTCGGTTTTTACATAGTATCTGCCAGACAATATCATTTATTCATACCAGCTATAGGATCAAATTCTCTTATTTGATTTAAATTCTTGGTGCTAATGATAATTTCATCAAATATTGGTGTACCACCACCTAAATAAATAAATGAATGCTTTCTATTAAATATTAATAAAAAGGAATTTTATCTCTAAAATTCGAATCTTCTTACCAACTAGACCAGTATTTCCACCCTGGGGCACAATCGCCAATTTTTTCTCATTACAGTATTTAACTATATTGGAAACTTGTTCAGTAGTTTTAGGCTTTGCAACTAATTTTGATTTACCCCTGTGTATTCTCAACCAATCGATGTTATAAGACGTTAGATCATCGTAATTATTATCATTTTCGATTATTAAACCATTTGATGGTAGAATTGATTGAAAAAACGAAATATCATCTTGAGAAAGCTTTTAGAATTTTAGAATCTCAAGTTAGACAACATGAAAATGAAATAAAGTAATTTTTCTTTATTTTAAAGCATACTTTCTTAAAATTCGGATTTCTTTTTAAATATGAATATGTATCGGTTGTGAATCTAACTTCCTCATTTGAGACATTCTTTTTCGGAATATCTGAAGAAGCTGTTACATTATTTTCAAGACTTGTATAATTTCGTTGACTATTAAAAGTAGTTATAACAGCATTTTTAAAACGACATGAAAAAGAATCTTTATATGAAGTTAATCGGGATAAATTTCGTGAAATTTTCATTATTGAACTGAATCCGAACGTATACGTAGCATCATGTCGATATAAATATATGTGTGATGGGCGTGGGAAATTTCTAAACAAATTATTATTGTCACTGACTAATCAGAATCTTTTCAATGGTTTCTAAAGATTCCATAAAGGAATTTTAATCAAAATCACTATTAAAGTATTGTGTATTTAAAACAGTACTTTTTGAATGCTTGTAAGATTATAATATATATAATATTGGAACTAGAATTAAGACCAGGAAACATCATGAAAAAATTTTTGAAATCGCATATTATCAGAAGCGTTTGTGTTGGCATGTGTTTTTACAGCAAAATAGATGCAAAACCCAACCTACTCCTGTTGTATCAAGTCGCAGGCGGCCAGAAAGAATTATGAAACAGCTGGGAATATGTCTATATGTTGTCGGAACGCGCAAAATTTACTTTCAAATTTAATTATAATGGTAAGTTATGCTTGCAAACCAATTTATTAGCGCGTTAAAGTGTTTACATGATAATTATTTATCTGTTATTTGAATTTAGTATTATTTTATTTTAAGTATCATAAAATGCTGTTTTTTATTAAATATATAATTTAGGCCATACAAATTTATATCTTCGGCTTTCATATCCCGCCCGGGTTAGTAGAGCAAGAATCCAACATTTTTATTTTTTAATATATAAACCAATAGGCGACAAATACAAAATTGTATCTTTTTGTTTTTTTGCAATTGTCTGTCGTAAGTACCGCCTAAATGCTAATCAGCGACATACTGTATATAGATTACTCCTCGTTATAGTGGATATTGAAACTTATTTTACCGGCATTCATAATATGTAATTTGAACTGGACTACATTTGGTTTCACTTCAAAAAAGAACCCATTTATATACAGTATAATCATTACACTTAATTCGCCTGGCATAACCACCAAAATCATTAATGAAACCAATGAAACCAATGAAACACTAATTAAAATCAGATCATTATAATTATTGGCTAAATAAAAATATACAATTAAAAAAACAGCACAAAGTATGGGCTTTGTGTTCTGAAGTTTGGTTAATAATTTCGGGTGGTGTGCAAATCACAAACTACCTAAAATTTTTTTATGCCAATCTATTTTCAGGAACCTAGGGAGTCTGACACGGCAAAAAAAATTGGCATGCCACGCATTATATTAGTAACGCAAAAAAAAGTCAAGCACCTGTAAATCCAAAACTAGTTTTCTCACAAATATATTTACAGCTTTTTTAGCCAGTCGCTTTTTCTACTGTAGTAACTGTTAAATAATGGGTAGATCAACGATTATATAACTATTAAACACGAATTTATTTAATTTAAATAACTTGCAGATTTAAAAGCTATAATAAAATAATAAAAGTACGTCTCAAGAGTTCAACTATGTAAGAAGTTACTAAAACACTTTATTGATTTAAAAAACTTATAATAACCATATACAGATTACAACTTTTAAACTTCAGATTGAAAAAAAATTCATCAATCGATCAATTTTCGACATTTTGAAGATAAGTATTATCACTAATATTTTGATTTCGTTCAAAAGCACCTATATCAAAGAATTCTTCTATCATTAATTCATCATTCATGTCAATAGTTACCACTTCAACGTCAAATTCCAATGGCCTTCTTCAAACATTTCTTTCTCAAAAAGAAGATTGTTATCAGAATTTTCAGCATTTGTAAGATTTGTAGATAAAGTAGATAAAGTTTGTTCTTTAAATTTTTCTTTTAATGTTTTAGGTAGTTTTTGTTGAAGATTATGACAAAGTATTTCAAGCATTTCCATCAAGGTAGTAGACATTCTGTTTTGTTATTTTGTTTTTACAATCCTCAAGCTAGAAAATAAACATTCAACAGTTGCTAAATAGGGGATGATTGAATCATCGAAGAAGTAGAGAATCTTCAGTAAATTGTGTTTAGAAATTCTAGAATTAGTATCTTTAATATTTTTGTAAATATCAAAAGGAACATCTTCATTTTTATAATTTATAAGTTCTTTATATAAAAGAGTAGTTTCTTTTTTATTGAAGTCTCAAATTTTTATTAATTCTAAAGAAGTTCTTATAATTATATTACCAATTATTTTTTTTGACATTGCAATCTGTTTATAGTATATTAATAAAAACAAAATAGACATTGTCTAAAAAATTCATAAACTTGTTTATTAATAGAAACTAATACATGTTTTTTGATTCAGTCAATTGGAATATTCACTTTGATAATAGTATAATAAATATTAATTAACTTTTTAAAAATATTAACTAATGTGATATTTCTTGATTTTAAATGACTAATGATATCTACAATTGGAATAAAATGATAACTAACATATTATTGTCAACAAAATAATAATTATAATTAATTATGGTTTAAATTTCTGCTTTAATTATAAGGTAATTACTAGTTTTACTAAGATTAATATATTGTTAAAATCATTTTTCAAATAATTTTATACCCAAACAAACTTTTGTAAGTAAGTACTATTATGTTTCATAAAATGTTGTAAATAAATAATGACATCTCTATAAACTTCTCTTTCTTGACCAACTTATCATCTATATTTATTACATTAACAACATATTTCTTTCAGACTAAACAAATTTCCTAAAGGCATTATACCTCAATGATTTACTAATTTTGAAAATATTACTAGAAAGGATTCAAGAAAATAAAACACTTAGCTATATAGTAGAACAAAAAATAGAAGAAAGAACATATAGCAATATTATTACAAGCTATAGACAAACTGCAATGGTATATGCAGATGATATTACATAGATTGCAAATAGCAAGGAGCAACTATTAAGAAACTTAGAAATTGCAGAAGAATTCTTCAAAGCCAATAATATTGAAATAAATAGATCCAAATCAAAACTTATAATAATAAACACTAAGTTTAAAAAAGAAAAAAGAGAGATCTTCTTTGGGCAAAGCAGGATAAAAGAAGAACCAAAAAACAGAATAATAAGATCATTAGAAATTTGGTTATATAATAGAATGAAGAAATCATTAATTGAAAAAAAAACAAAAGAAATAGTTAGTCAAACAGTCAAAAACCTCAAATACAAAAAAATAACAATAAGCTAATTTGTATATATAAACAATACAGTAATTATCCTAAAATTAGAATATCTGCTACAATTAACAAAATAATAGAAAAAATAATTAACAAAATATATCAACTCCTAATATGCTTGACAAAACACAAATGCAATATAATGTATATAACAAATAATTGTATAATAGAACACAAAAACCTTGACAACTGCAAGTCATTAGAACAAAAGATAACAGCAAAACAAATAAGCAACATATTTTCTAGACTGAACAAAAAAGATGTTTTAGGTAAACTAATAAGACTTAGAATAACTCAAGGTTGCAAAATAGAAGGCCTAATGGAAGATATATAAGATGTAAAAACAGGATCAGAGAAGAAGAAATATTGGAAAAACAATCTAGCATGTTGAATAATAGTTAAAACAAAAAATATAGGCATAGGCATTAGAATAAGAAAATGCTTATGGAGAGTATATAGATATGAAAACAAAATAAGAGACATAATAGAAGCAAAACATAAAAAGTAAACAGTACTAAAATAAATAACTAAAGATTAATATATTTGAATCAACTTATAGATGCAAAAAGCAAAAAGCAAAAAACTAATTACAAAGAGACAGCTTAAAAATCTTTAAGGAAGGTTATAGAAAGAAAAAAAGTTAAAATGATTTAGTAAAATTAAGAAAAAGATGTTAATAACACAAGCAAACAGAAAAGTATATGATCAATATAAAATAAACAATTATAATACACAAGCATTAAAGATTATATAGACAAAAATATTAAAAGACAAAAGAAGAAGAGAATAGATTATGTATAGGCCAAAGAATAATTAACAACTAGACAAAGTAGCTAAGAAAAAAGAGAAAGAAATTTTAATTGAGCATTGGTTAATGCATAAGGAAAAAAAGAAAATATCTACAGAAATAAGTAAATGCAAAGGTTATAAAAATATACAAACACAAATAATAGATAGATGTGAAAAGTAGATGCAACTAAATCATAATATAAAAGTTATTTCAGAATTAATAATAGAAAAAAATAACAACAAAATCAATGTGACAATAGACCAACTAAAAGTGAATAGAATAATAAAGAAATAGAGAAATGAGAAATGAGAATTGGTTAGACTTAAATAAGTAAAAGAATTAGAAGTAAAACTAAAAAAACAGAAACTGTTATAAGTCTAAAACATAAAATATATAAGAATCTGTTGTGTTATTTAATCTAAAAATTTGATTGATTATCTTTAACAGACATTGTATAAAATAGAGTAGAAGTATAAACATTCTCACTATGCTTTAAATAATAATAAAAAAGCAAGGATTAGATAATATGCTTATAGAATAACTAATAGAAATCTTAACAAGAAACAAAGAAAGAAACAAAGAAAGATATGTTTTTATACAGATGGAGCATTATACAAAAAAGATAAAAAAAACAATATAAAAAAAATAGGTATTGGATAGGTACAAGTAGAAGAGAAAGTCAACTGGTTAGGGAATGAAGTGGTACTAGGCCTAGAAGAGTTGCCATTAGCGACATTAGCAGAACTAGTAGCAATATGGATAGCAATTCAAATGGTACCTGAAGAAAAAACATAAAAATTTATACAGATAGCAATACAGTAATAAGAAATATTAGTAAAACATTACAAAGTACAAAAGATAAAAAAATTTCAAAAAAGAAAAATGTAATGTAAATATTAAATATTACAGAACTAGTCAAAAAGAAAAATACTAATATAAAATTAATTAAAATTAAAAGTTATAGTGAAGACAGATAATCAACAGAGCAGATCTTTTAGTAAAAAAGAAAACAAGCTGCAAAGAAGTAGTCCAGATAGAAAAACTTAAATGTGAAGAAATAGAATACCAACTAGAATAGAAAAACAAAAGAATAGATATATCTGCAAGTCTTCTTTACAAAATAATTATGAACACTAAAATAGGAACCAATTAAAGAGATACAAAGTCAATCAGAATTCTGGAACCAGAAACAGAATATATACTTTATAACTGGTCAAGTTATTGAAAAGAAATAAGTAAAACAAAAGAAATACATTGTACCTCAAGGAAACTAAGCACAAGAAAAACCACAGTGATTAAGTATATAATGAATAGCCTATTGACACTAGTAAAGCTAAATAAAAGAAAACCAGAAATATACACAACAACAGAATATCAAGTCTGTCAAAATGGTAAAGATAAAATCCAAGAATATTTAGCAAGCTGTAATGAACAAAAAAGTTTGTAAAAATGAATACAAAAAGTTACAATAGCAATAGCATAGAATAGGCTTAAAGAAGAGAAAAAAATCAAAATTCCAGTGCAAATATTATAACAAATACTATTTGAAGAAACAAAAGCAAAAAAAGTTATAAATAAAAAGGTGCTAATAAAAGGACTAACTATAGTAAAAGTAAGAAAAAGACTTGATAAACTACTAAGTAAGCAAGCAGTAAAAAACTGTCTTAACATAGAAACAAGAACAGTACAAAATACCTTTTATGATCAAATATAAAAAGTCTAATATGAAAAGATACAAAAATAGAAAAAAGAAGTTAATATAACAAGTAAAATGAAAAAAATATTTAAGTAAAAGAGAATATAACAAAAAAGAAAAAACAAGAGAATAAAAAGAAAAAAAAAAAGAAAAAAAAAATAGAAAAAACAAGATAAAGAAAAAAAAACTTGAAAGACAATTAATATGCTTGTCACAAAAAGAGAAAAACCTTTTTGGTATGGCTTTAAGTAGTTAGATAAGCAGTTTATCTCTAATTGAGATAGTGCAGCAGATTGTACTTAGGTACTATTAGAGTAACTGAGTGATACTAGACTTAGATATTGGAAAATTTTATATAATTATATATATATTTAGTTTCAAGAATCTTAATAAAGTATTAGTATAACTGCTTAAGACAAAAAAAAAATTTTTTTATACTAATGATTCTATTATTAAGCTTGGTACTTCTCAATGCTCTATGGGTATAGGCTAAGTTCAAGTTAATAATTTTCCAACTATTTACTTATTTTAGATACAAATTAAACTTTAGATATGCTCTT